AAAATTCTTGCTTTGAACTAAAACTAATAAATGGATAACTAAAAGCTGAACATAGCAAAAAGCTATCTAAAAGCTAAAAGGCTAATTAAAAAAAACCTGCAGAATTTTAGTTATGATGAAATGGGTAAAGGAAAAGCTAAAAATAGCTGAAGGGTAGCTAAAAGTTCAAAGGATTATCGCAGAACAAGTATGATGAAACCAGTTTCAAAGAGAACATTTTTGAAACAATGGAAACGATTGAAATGTACTTCTATGGGGCAATAATTTGTAAATACTGTGAAAAGTATAAAAGTTACAAAACCAAAAATCATAGCACACTACTCCTGATTTGGATGAATGTCAGAAAAACACAAAATATGCAGAAAAAAACCCCTAAAAATTTAAGAAACTAAACTGAAAAATACGCAGTACAATAAAAAATACTAAAATAGGGCCAAGAGGTAAACCTGCTAAATATTTGCAGTGTTGACAGCTCTAACCACTGATCCATCGTGTTGCCCACAATGCAATGTAACATGCAGTTTTTAATTATTCATATAAATACATTTATCAAGTATGTGTTAATAATGGAAAATACATTTTGTGGGGCTATACAAAATTTATTTAGTGTGAAAAATTGATTAAACTTTTTTATTTTTTTATGAAATGGTGAAGACCTCTGGCTTAGATTATTACAAAATCAGCCCCAACTTAATACTGAGCTTTAGATAAGAAAGTTGATGAATTTTGAAATACTGGGCACCCTTCAAACATTTTTTTATATATTTTTTTACGTTAAGCATGTTATTTTCTTTTTTTTTTCATTGCAGTGTTAAACACATATAACAGACCAACATTTAATGAAAGAAGGTGTCATTTAATCAGAGAAGAGATTTATTTAAATGAAAATTTTATTTGTGAGGCAGAGAACCCAAGCTGTTCAATCAAGGCACATCATTACAACTTTTAATTAATTTTCTTAATAGTCAAAATAGTCACAGAACACCCAAAGGGCAACAAAATACAGTTGGTTCCCTTGTTGTGGCTCAGAGGAGCTGCTGTACAGGTGTGAAAGTGAGCCAACTAATTAGCCAGCTAATGTTCAACATGAGCTGGCTAATGTGTCAGATATTACACAATTACTGAGAAACCAGTTACACTGATCACTGTGATCACTCATTGAACACTCTATTAGAAGCTATTTCTGCCTCCATTACTTGATTTTTCTCACAATATAAATTAATTATTTGCAGTGGGGCAACAGTAGCTCAGTGATCAGCACCAGGAAGGCCATGTAGCATAAAACATTTGCGTAATCTTTCACATGAGACTGATCACTGTAGAGACATCTGCAAAGGGCAGCAGCCAAGAGACAAACTACAAAAAATGTGCACTCTGAAAGATAGACAGACAGACAGATGGACAGACGGACGGACGGACGGACGGACGGACGGACGGACGGACGGACGGACGGACAGACAGACAGACAGA